AGGCCCAGGTTAACAACGACCGCCATCGATGCTGTTGACAAACAGGGTGCCGGAGGAAATTGTGCTACTGTTAGTCGAAGACCACGAGGAGGGAAAAGTGTCAGGAGACAGAGGGAGAAGAGGAAAGTGAAGAATATAGGACTGAGGGTTGCAACCCTAAATGTGGGGACAATGACAGGCAAAGGTAAAGAGCTGGCTGACATAATGCAGAGAAGGAAGGTAGATGTTTTATGTGTCCAAGAGACCAAGTGAAGGGCAGCAAGGCTTGCAGCATTGGAACAGGGTTTAAACTGTTTTACCATGGTGTGGATAGAAGAGAAATGGAGTAGGGGATCCTGAAGGAGAAGTTGGCAAAGAATGGTGAAAAAAGTGTAGATAGGGTGATGTGCCTGAAGGTAAAGTAGAAGGTCTAACGCTAAACGTTGTCAGTGGTTATGTTCCACAAGTTGGATGTGATGTGGAGGAGAAAGACACATTTTGGAAAGATCTGGATGAAGTGATAGAGAGTATTTCCAGGGAGGAGAGTGGTGATCAGAGCAGACCTAAATGGGCATGTTAGTGAAGGAACCAGAGGGGATGAGAAAGTGATGGGTAGGTTTAGTCTCAAGGAAAGAAACCAGGAAGGTCAAATGGTGGTAGATTTTGCCAAGAGAATGGAAATGGTTGTAGTCAACACATATCTCCAATAGAGGGAGGAAGAGTGGAGGAAGGAGTACGCAGGTCGACTCCATTCTGTTTAGAAGAGGAAACCTAAGGGAGATTGGAGACTGTAAGGTTGTGGAAGGGCAGAGCGTGGCCAGACAGCATCGGATGGTTGTGTGTAGAATGACTGTTGTTGTGAAGGAGAAAGAGAGTAAAATCTGAGAAGACGACCAAATGGTGGAAGCTGAGAAAAAAAAGAATACTGGGAGAAATTCAGAAAGGAGCTGTTGAAGGCTCTGGGTGGTAAGAAAGAGCTTCCAAATGAGTGGGCTACTACACCAACAGTAATTAGAGAGACAGGTAGGAAAGTCCTAGGTGTGTCATCTGGACAGAGAATGAATGATAAGGAAACCTGGTGGTGGAATAGTGAAGTGCAGGAAGCTGTTCAAAGAAAGAGATTAGCCAAGAAGAAATATGACAGTGAAAGGACTGAAGAGAGGAGACAGGAATATAAGGAGATGGGACGTAGAGCAAAGAGGGAGGTAGCTAATGCAAAGCAGAAGTCGTATGATGAGTTGTATGGGGGGCTGGACACTAAAGAGGGTGAGAAGGATTTGTACCGATTGGCGAGACAGAGGGATCAGGCTGGAAAGGATGTGTAGCCAGTTAGGCTTGTTAAAGATGGGAATTGTAATGTTAACCAAGTTCATGCTCAATCATCCAGGTATCAAATCCAATAATTCTCAGTTAGGTCACCTGGACCGTTTCTTTTTTTATAGAGATGTTTCACCCTCTATCCGGAGGGCTTCATCAGTCTAAGGAGTTCCAGTAAACTGTTTCCCCACCAAGCAGTAAATGGACTGTAAATGGACTGTACTTATATAGCGCCTTTCTATCTGATCAAGATACTCAAAGCGCTTTAAAACACAATCTGTGTCCTCATTTACCCATTCATACAGCACTCTACTAGATCTCTACAAAACTAATTGAACAAATCATTCTAAAGAAACTAATCAGAGCTTAAGATCACATTCATACAATGATGGGACACACATCAGAGGCGATGAGGGGTTCAGTGTCTTGCCCATGGACAATTCGGCATGTGACTGCTGGTGGATTCGAACCCCCAACTCTTGCATTGGCGGACGACTGCTCTAACCACTCAGCCAGTAAACTCCTTAAGTGGACCAACCAGTTTGGTCTGGTTGGTCCACTTAAGGAGTTTACTGGTGGGGAAACAGTTTACTGGAACTCCTTAGACTGATGAAGCCCTCTGGACAGAGGGCGAAACACCTCTATAAAAAAAGCAACTGTCCAGATGACCTGACTGAGAATTATTAGGCCCGAGCAGCAAAGTGCTGCAAAGGCCTATTGTAATCGCTCTGTTCAGGCCTGAGCTGCATTTTTTTCCGCCAAACGAATTGCCGTTTTGGGGGCCTTAACATCAGAATCAGAATAAACTTTATTGGCATTGCACCGAGATACAACGCGAATATGTACGTACAGTCGTCCGAAGATGGGCGGAGTGCACGAAGCTGCGGCTATAAATAATTAGTGCAGCCTTCTTATTCTTATTCAGAATAATATTTTGCTTAGATGAGAAAAGAAAAGAAAACATGAGGAGAGACGGTAATCAAACATATCCCAAAAGTCACCAAATTTGATGGATGCATCAGTACTGGTGAAAAATTATGTATTTTAAGGGCGTGGCAAAAATTGCAACAGAAATGGATCAAGAACGCCACCTAGAATTTATCAAAATACCCTCTGCATTAACCTTAGTTTATCGTAGAAACATGAAATTTGGTATGCTTGTCAAATTCTCCAAGATGCACAGAAAGCCCTCTGGCACCAACGTTGTACGATAAAAAGGAAGGCGGCCATTTTGGAATGTCGGCCCAATTTTCACACCTTTTTGGCGGTTTACAGCCTCCGCATTTGAATGAACTCCTCCGAGGGATTTCGCTCAATTGGTTTCAAACTTTGCCATTTTGGTCAAAAGGCATGGGAGACGCAAAGTTATCTAAATGGTTTGTTTCGGAGCATGCTGAAGGGGCGGGGCCAGACCTCAAAGTGTGACAGCTCGCCATGATAAACGAAACACTAATAGCTCCTACACAAAAACTGTCTGAGACATCAAACCTTCAGTAATTGATTCACATCCAGTCCCCTGCAAGACTGAACAGTCAAATCATGACATCACTTAAGCCACACACCCCCTGACAACAGGAAGTGTAAAGTTTTACGTTGAACTGTCCCTATCTGACCCGTTACCTGATCAGCATGATAGTGTATCAAGTGACCGAAGACATGTTGGTGTAACCTGCTTTCCAATACTGACAGTTTGGGGTGGAGCATGTGGGCTTCGCAACGTGACGAAGTAAGACGTAACGCCGTCGCCATACATTCAGCTCTAAATTCCACAGATTTGAACCCAGGTTCACCAAAATCAGTATGATAAATCATTAGCCACCCCTTGAACAGGAATCCATGATAATTGCCCAATAGCCTCCACAGCACCCCCTAGAATATTTTAAAACCTCAGGCCCAAGCCATTTTTGGACCGATAAATCTGAAACTCTGCGAACATCTGTATCTTCTCAGGACCTATAAAAGTGTCTCTTGGAGCTCTGGTCCAAACGTAACAGGAAGTCCGCCATTTTGGGTCAAAGGGTCATTTTTGGGCATTTCTAATGAAGAATTTTAACAAACTCCTTCTAGGGATTCTGAGTGATTGCCTTTAAACTTGGTTAATATGCCCTTAAGACATTGGGGAGTAAAAGTTATCAAAAGCTTTCGGTTTCGTTTATGTTAAAGGGGCGTGGCCAGGCCTCAAAATTGCGCTTCACACCATAAATTTACAAACGCTATAACTTTCACATTGAAAGACCGAAATGCACCGAACTTGGCATGACTCATCCCTGTTGGATACCCGACGATCCACTTGGTCATATTTTGACTCTATCAAAGCCCCGCCCCCTCAGAACAGGAAGTTTCTTTGTTTTACTTGGAATGCTCCCTCTTTGACACTATTGACCTAATCAGGATGATCATGTGTTAGACAACAGATAATATGGTCTGACTTGATTTAAAGTGCAAATCGTCTTTGCTCGAGTATGTGGGCATGGCGAATTAAGAAGTGACGCCGTTGCAATACGTTTGGCTCTAAAATACACAGATTTCAGCCAAGGTGCACCAAAATCACTATGATCGATCATTATCCACCCCTTGAACAAGTATCCATGATAAGTGGCCAATAGCCTCTATAGCGCCACCTACATTCTTCCTACAGTCATATCTCAGTGATACAACATCCGATCTGCACCAGATTTATGGTGCATCATCAGTGAGCACTTGTAGACACATTGTTATTGTGGTTTAACATATGACTCTAGTGCGCCCCCTACATCGGGCCATCGAGAGCATCCTGATGAGCTGCTCCACTGTGTGGTACGGG